CTCCTCAATTTCTACAGTTATAAATCTATGCATACGTTATACAGTGGCTAGTATAAGACATATAGAAAATATAAACCTGAACAGTATTACAGATAAATTAAACCTATCGGTTGGATGTAGGTTTTGAAAAATGGAACAGTAATCAGTAGGGTGCCTTTCGTGCCTTCAATACAACAATATGCATAGGTGAATAGGTAGATACAATGATGACCTATGGTTTGTGCATTAAACACAATAATAAGATATGAGAAGCGTTATATACAATACCGGTATGAGTAATTGTAAAAACGCTTATAATGGGGGTCGTAAAATTAATAACATATGTGATAAATGTATATGACAGAGAAGAAATGGAGGAGAGAAAGGGGTCAGAATATTCACTACAACTCATTTGCTCCTCCAATCGGTCATGTTAAAGAGAATGGTTAGTTGGTTAGTCATGATTAGTTTAAGAATAAAAGTGTAGAATTTGAAAGGGTATGGTGAACATTCAAAAGACGAAAACTGCATAAAAATTATGCAGACCGATACAAATAAGCTAGTCTAATCCCTACAAGAACACACACTTTTTTTAATATCATAATCTCAGCAACACAAAATACCAGGACGTATTACGCTAGAAAATAAAGGAACAGTGGCTTATTGAAAGAAGAAGTTGACTTTTCACCACTGGGTCACTGGTTCGAAACCTCAGTTGACCTGCTGAGGTTTGAGCAGCTAAGTAACATACCTAGAGGTGGTACAAGTGCTGCTCATTGCTTAGTATAAGTACTTATGAAACACTGCTGGAATAAACTACGAGATAAAAAAAGTGAAGTTTCATACCTTAGGTCTTTAGTAATATTTAGGTAAACTGGCCTGATAAATGTAGTTAACGAACTGAGTTCTACTACCGATATGATAAGTGAGTTAGCGACTTATCATGCTTTAATTCTGTGAGATGACTCGACATGTTTCTGACTAAAATATACTTTTTTGATTCCCTAAAACTGAAACTGGATTACAACTTATATAATTTTTGATATCAAACCTTGTATATCTGCGTCGTTGACTGAACCGAATCGATCGTCTGCAATTGGTATATCCCAGGATATTCATTCTATTTATTAACATGCGATCAATCCGTTCAGTTCAACGACGTAGATTTAAGAGCTATAACATCAAAACCATACTAACCCATCTCACAAAAAATCGCTGTCCTGACTCAATGACCGCAGTGGATAACTCTTCCTTATTTGAAGCAGTCGACCCTGTGTTTGGGTCTTACTGGGAATAACCGAAATCATTAAGAGACAGGTACATCCAGCTGACAAGTCCCAAACAGGACGGAACGTGCTTCCTGGATTCCAATGCTAGCCACTGTCCATCATTATTTATGTAAGGATTAAATCGGATTGTCCTCTAAACCTCTTTCAGGACATTCACAGCAACTATGGACTGAGTGCTTAGTGATACTTTTAATTTCCCGTTACTGTACTCAGTCGACCTTACCTAGTTTACTAGTTCACTAGTTACTAGCCGGTCCTAAGCCCGGATAAAGACGGGAGGTTAGACTAGCAACCCTACCCCGGAAAACCAATCCAACCGCTAAACAAACTTCAAAGACCAAACAAAATATAAAAAATACAATTAAACTTATTCCTCACTGGAATCTGAGAGGCGAAATGACGCCAGTTGGTAAAAGTCTTCGGCAAGCCAATTGGCCGATATGTCTTCCCTTCTCTTGATGGAAGCGAAAGTAAACATGGGAAGATGGAATGTCCACAACATGTATGAACCTAGCAAGGCTGTCCAGATTGCCAAAGAGATGAGAAGGTATAACATAGGAGTGCTTGGAGTCTGCGAGGAATATGCAGATGGAATGGGAGTGGACTCTCCCATCTGTCAACTACAGAGTCAATAATCTACTCCGATATTGTCACCCAGACGACAACTACGAGCACAGCACACTGAGTTATGGAGTGGCCATCATGATGTCCCCTTGAAAAGCATCGAAGTCTCTCTCTCATGCAGTGAGAACGAATCTCCGCCTGCAGGATCAGGACCATCACAGCAAGATTCAACTCAAAAGGAAGGAAAGTCACAATCATACAATGCTACGCAATAGACCTACAAATAATTCAGATGAAGAGAAGAAGGAGGAATTCTACAGACAATTACAATCAGTACAGGACAAGACTGCAGTTGAGAACATCAAAATTCTAATGGGCGACATGAATACCAAACTGGGAGGGTGCAGACAACACAGGAAGAGAACTTATCATGGGTCGAGAAGCGCTTGGTGAAATGAAGAACGAGAATGAAGAATTGTTTGCAGAATTCTGTGCACTCAACGATTTGGTGATTGGAGTGGGGCAATGTGTACGAACACAAGGATTTCACCAGACACCAGGACACACTACACTAGAAATCAGATCGACTTCATCTCAAAGTGAAGAAAGTGGAGACACAGCCAACCAACTGGACACAAGATCAGATCACGAAGAGGAGCAGATGTAGGTTCACACCACTCACTCCACTATCTAGTGCAAGGAACCTACCTTCAAAATCAAGTTGAAAGCCTTCACTTCACAGAAGTTGGTGATAGACCACAGTTCGAGTTGAACACCCAGAACAGAGACCGAAGTGAAGGACGAAACTACAGGTGACATCTTCACATCAGTCAGGTATCAGGGAAGAAGTGGGAGACATTGAGCAAGATCCGTGAAGAAAGGTGTGTGGAAGAAGACTGGAACTCTGTGAAAGAGATGTGGAAGTAAACCTGGATAACGGTGTTAGTAAGGGAGAAGAAGAGACAAGACAAGGAACGGATCTCCATGGATAGATGGAAGCTGACAGAGGAGGAGGAAGATGATGAAGCAGAAAATGAACTACTGCAATGCAGTGCACTGCAGGGATGAACGACGATAAGAGGAACTGAGTACAACATATAAAACACTACACTGGACAAAGAAGTGAAGAAGACTCCACACAAAGACTAAAGACACTACCACGACACACTGCCAAGTGGAGCAGAACAAGCTGCTGCTGGTAGGAGAGACACAGACCTGACAACATTGTATCAAGTAACCAGGTTACTATCTGGTAGGGGAGAGATCAACACACATGAAACCAATAAAATATGATGAAAAAAGTCTAATCACCAACCACCAAAGAAGCGAAAGAAAGGAAACGATGACAGACCACTTCAGAAAGCTCTTCAATCGACCACCACCACCACCACCACCACCAACACCACCACCAACACCAACACCAACAACAAGCTCCAATCAGCATCAATGGGAGAAACTTAAAGGAAGTTGCCTCCTTCACCTACCTAGACAGAGCAGCATCGTTTCAATTAGAGTTGGCGGCACAGACGAGAACGTCAAAGCCAACCAGGATCGGAAAGACAGTAAGACAGGTGTTCAATAACCTGAAACCAGTGTGGAGATCTACTCCACTCCACTCCACTCTACTCAGCATAAAGAGCAAGATCTTCATTTTCAACATCAGTGCCAGTCAAGTGAGTCAGTGTTTCTATGTGATGGTTGGGAGACTTGGCATGTCACGAAAACCATTTCCAACAAACTACAAACATTCATCAACACCTGCCGCCTACGCTGACTCGATACTGAAGATCAGATGGCCAGAATTATAAGAATAAGCAACAAGGAACTGTGGTTGGCTGGCTGGCTGGCTGGCTGGCTGGCTGGCTGGCTGGCTGGCTGGCTGGCTGGCTGGCTGGCTGGCTGGCTGGCTGGCTGGCTGGCTGTGAACGAACCAACCAAGAGCCTATCGCTTAACAGATATACACTGGAAGGAAGTGGAGATCGGTTGGATCGGATATGCACTGAGAAGACGGACTGGGGACATGATGCGTCAGGCCAGGTCGTCGAGTGGAAGTTAGATGGGAAACGATGAGTTGGGCGTCTGAGGTGAGGGTGACGTTGGGCGAGATAGTGTGAAGAAGGCTGCAGAGAAGACAGTGAAATGGCGACGTGCTACTGAAGCCCCAAAGGATAAAGAATAATAATAATAATACTGAATCGAAGCGCTCGACTTCTGGTGACAGACGGGTTCCTATGCGGATGCCCCAATATTTCGCAGATATTCATAATATAGATGTCTGTTTGGTGGCTGGCATTAAAATCCAGGACAGGCTTTTCTTTCCGTTTGGGACTCGTCAGCTGAATGCTCATGAATCCCACTGCTAACCACCTAACTGACTACAACAGGGACTGGATGCTTATAAGATATACTTTGATGTTGAAAGTGTATATACTATATCGTTAACTAACGACAAAGCGAAAGAAAAATCATACTAAAGAACAACGTCAGGTGTTAGCAACTATTTAATCAGATTTATGAACTTGATCGCAGTGATCCCAACAGTCGTTGATGACAATTAAGTTCATGTAGCTGAGAAAAATTCAGCCTATAGCGTAGAGTTGTTCAGATGAACTTAGTCAGACTGGGTGAAACAAGTCACCCAAATACTGATTGTATAATACCCTTTTTACTGACATATGGATGTTTTTTCTTTAAAAGATAGGGTGACGCTTTTTTATATGCTTCATTGAACTACTGAACAAAGTAGAAGAAAATCACAGGGTCATTTCATGTGTATGTCACAGAAATAAACAATGACCCTTTAAAAAAAAATTACCTAATTTAATATAGGTATAAAAACAGGCAACAGTATATTGCGTGACTTGAATTACAAATATAGAGAATACTTAATGTTATACAATAGGGTAGAAATATATTTCTTCAGGTCAAACTAGGTCAATGAATCTCAATCATTAATTTTTACTAACAGAGAGACAGTTTTAGACTGACGACACTCGTTTCAATATGAGTTAACTGAACCGTGAAACAAAATGCTTATTAAATGATCAAAAATACAGATGGTAGAAACCTAATTAACTTAATTTAGTTGCCGTTGTATGATCAGTGGATATCAATTATATAATGTATGCAAATCGCAAAACACTAGGCTTTTGTTTCATTATAGCATTTTAAAACTCTTCTGTAGTTAAATAATGAGTATTTCTTGTCGAGTTGAGAAATATCAACTGCTGCGTTGTTGTTATCCAGCTCAAAGACAAGGAGTTAATCACTATAGTTGTGGGTTTCCGGTCTAAACCTTGTATGGGATCAAGGATGTGTATGCCTGAGGTGCATAAACACAATAGGAAACAAGTAGTAGTAGTAGTAGTAGTAGTAGTAGTAGTAGTAGTAGTAGTAGTAGTAGTAGTAGTAGTAGTAGTAGTAGTAGTAGTAGTAGTAGTAGTAGTAGTAGTAGTAGTAGTAGTAGTAGTAGTAGTAGTAGTAGTAGTAGTAGTAGTAGTAGTAGTAGTAGTAGTAGTAGTAGTAGTAGTAGTAGTAGTAGTAGTAGTAGTAGTAGTAGTAGTAGTAGTAGTAGTAGTAGTAGTAGTAGTAGTAGTAGTAGTAGTAGTAGTAGTAGTAGTAGTAGTAGTAGTAGTAGTAGTAGTAGTAGTAGTAGTAGTAGTAGTAGTAGTAGTAGTAGTAGTAGTAGTAGTAGTAGTAGTAGTAGTAGTAGTAGTAGTAGTAGTAGTAGTAGTAGTAGTAGTAGTAGTAGTAGTAGTAGTAGTAGTAGTAGTAGTAGTAGTAGTAGTAGTAGTAGTAGTAGTAGTAGTAGTAGTAGTAGTAGTAGTAGTAGTAGTAGTAGTAGTAGTAGTAGTAGTAGTAGTAGTAGTAGTAGTAGTAGTAGTAGTAGTAGTAGTAGTAGTAGTAGTAGTAGTAGTAGTAGTAGTAGTAGTAGTAGTAGTAGTAGTAGTAGTAGTAGTAGTAGTAGTAGTAGTAGTAGTAGTAGTAGTAGTAGTAGTAGTAGTAGTAGTAGTAGTAGTAGTAGTAGTAGTAGTAGTAGTAGTAGTAGTAGTAGTAGTAGTAGTAGTAGTAGGCATAGGTGCATACACGCCCATAAGCGTCTCAACCGCTGAATCGCTTGTTGAAACGTACTCATGTTTCTGTTGAGAGTGAGGATTTCGTCAATACTATCATTTCAATATGCACTAGTGCCGAATAGTAAACACTGCTTGGATTGATGTACAGACTGTTATTGCAATGAACAACTACTGGTCAAAATAAACATTTTCTTTCATTTCTTATCATAAGACCTCAGTAGAGACTTATCTATGGCATACACTGACTGAACTTTCCTCATACAGTGAACATTCCATCTTCTGAAATTTAATCAGTCTCCCTTCCCAAGTAATTTTCCTAGTTTACTACTTTCTAACGTTAAATATTTGCTGCATAGAAAAACGAAAATAAACAAGAATGCTTCTTTTCTTACTGATTTGCTTTTTCTTGGTTTCTATAATCCTGAATAACGGAAACATTCATTATTTTGTGGACCGTGTATTGATTATTTCCGTTGTTATTATTATGGTTGTTGTTGTTGTTGTTTTCATTGTATGCTATATTCATCAACTTGGTCTGTAATCGTTGTTTTTATTTTCGGGAAATGAGTGACAGGATGACGGTAATAGATGATATATATGTAAGGGTGTGGATATACGCTTGTACCCAACTCGGAGAGATAGATAGACATACATAATCGGATAGAAGGAACGTGACTGCTTAGACGAGTAAAATGCCAACTAACGTCGTATAATCTCTGAATAATGGTCACGTCGTTCTAGTGGGGTGAGAGCAGAAAAGTAAACAATAACACGATAATAGTAATTTAAGGACACGACTACTAGACAAATTCGATGACCTTGGAAAAACATAAACAACTGTAGATTTTGTATGACTTGTTTAGCTTGACAGGATTTTAAAAGGAGATGGATGAAAGATTGGAAAAGTTGGTCACAATGGTGTACGTACCAACAGTCATTCGACCCTCTGATAGCCTAGCAGGTCATGCATGTATTCCTATAGAATCCAACTAAGTAAGCAAATTTCCAGGCTACTGAAATATGGTTAGCTGATTTAAACAATCTGATGAAACCTAAAATCTATGGAGTAATTCACAATCATTATTGTGGAGCTATGACTCAGGCGTGTAGAGAGTTGACTTCCAACCAGTGAGTCGAGGAGTTGAGCACCGCTCCACCTGCCAAGGTCTCGGCAGCCAGGTGGTATCATTAGCCCCCACTCAAAAAGTGTGGTGAATTGCCTACTGCGTGTATGTTTGCAAGGTTGCTGAGTATATTCCGATTCGGCAGTTATCCCTTAGCCATACAGTTCATATGACACGATTTAAGTTTACACTCCAGGTTAGGATCACTGGATAAATTCAACCCATGTGGCTTAAGATATCTGAGCACAGAACTACGAAAAAGGTTGGGAAACGGATAATATTCCATTCGCATCTGTTCTATTTTATTCTTGAATCTGGTCGGTATTACTGGGTTCAAGAACCTTAGGTCTTCAGAAGTTTGATTCTTCTAATTACTTTGGCAAGCGTGTATATCAGACAGACGATAGCATCTTATCATTGTTGGTTAAATTTTAAAAGGAAAGCATGCTGAAATCCTAGTTGTTCGATAGTAAGTCTCCAGGAAGCAACAGACGTAACGACCTGTAAAGTTTTTGAATTTCTATATGTTTCACTCGTTCATTCTGTAGTTAACCTGAGTATAGTACTGATACGTCGATTTTATTTATCATGTAGTAAACTACTATTTTATATGATTAAATTCAACATAAACTGTAATTTGGTTAGTTGACACCGAACGACAACAGGTTGACAAGTGAATCTTTATTTATCGACTCAACACCAAATGTATCCAATGGTAGTGACTCAGCACCTATTGAGGATACACGTACAATTTATTGATACTATTTGTTAATGATGATAATTGACAGGGTACTGAAGTTCAGTTCTCAGAAAACCACTTAGCCATCATCTAGTGCAGCGATAACATCAGTGATCAGACGTTTAAGTGCCATGGGTTAGAATCAATGAAAAAGGATGAGTTTAACCATTTGATATACTAATAAACAAACTATAGTGTAGCTACAGTCTACCACATTGCTCAAGGTTTCCTTCCAAAGTAACAAACTCACATTTGTTCCATATGCTGAATATGATAAATGCATTACTAGCAATCTAGAATTTATTGTAGAAACTAAGGTTGTAAGAAAAGGATGTCATAAATATGCTGTCATCATATTCATTGAAAAAAATTTATGGTTGATTACCACTTCTCTCACAGACTCAAATGAATTGCGAGCTGTGTCTTTAGGTAGATTATTCTCTTTTCTCTCAGGTTGTAAGGTATGGCAAGCGAAGTGTTAAATATTTTCAGTCTCAGATCCTAGTGAATGTACAAACATTATCGTTGACTAAGGTGTACATAAAGCTATGTGATAAGTGACAAAGAGGACAAAACACGGTCCATGGATTCCACTGCTAATTGTATCCTATTAAACTACACTTGTAAAGAAATGTCTACTATGATCTCAAATTATAGAAATTCAGCTTGGAAGTCATAGAATGTCAGTCATACTACCATCTGTTTACAAATATGTATTATAGAAAATTAGAGCGTTGGTTTCTATCCATCGGCATAAAATTCCCAATTTCACAACCATCTATAAAAACACCACATACTAAACAAAACATTGTGAACAAAATTTACCGTGCAATGAAACTATCTGCTGACATATAATGATTGCTTGAGATAAGTAGCACACCCAAGTATACACGCAATGCAATCTCATGTTTGCAATGGAGTTCTGTGTATTTGGAGTTTTCTATACACCCAACTAGATGGTTTCTCTTGATGAAACCAAACCATTTTTAAGTCACTGCTCAGTTTCACTAGTGCTTGAAAGTCATTATATAGGTAAACAAGATTTTTCTGAACTTTCCACTGTGTATACCACAGTTTAGTGATTTTCTAAACACTGTAGGATCATATTAAAACCTACCTATAAAATGATTAAACCAGACTTGGTGCTCAACTTCTTTCTGGACAGTAGTAACAACTATAGCCTGGATGTTTATATTAGCTGAAAGTGTTAATTAACTTCTCAGTCACTGTAATAACATGTAAACAAACTGATTATTCATAAATGTGATTATGATGATAAACTAAGCAGGTGAACTTAGATTGATCAATAAATGAATGTGATTTGCTGAAATGAATGTGAAGTAGCATGTGTTTAATAATAGTAAAATTGTGAACATGACTACACAAAATGATCTTTTGTTAACAGATGGTACGCGAATGATGTGCAAAGTTACTGAGAAAGAAAACCAAACTTCTATGATAGATCCATTTACATTCACTTTTAACAATATCATCATTATGGGATTACTGATATCCCCGATCGTAGCAGATATATTTAAGGATAGCTGTGGATGATACATTTACAGTGTCAAAATCAGAACATATCGATAAATTTCTAACAAATAGTAGTTGATGAAATCAATTCAAAAATGAACTTGAAAGTGATGAAGAACTAGCTAGCTATGTTAAAAATTGTGAAATAAAACAAAGGCAAAATAGAAGTTCACATAATAGTATCTACAAAAAACCTTAACACTCTTAGCGGCATACTGACTTCACATCATCGCATTGATTAGCGTTCAACGCAGGTTGGATAAAATGTTTAAGTAAGACAGTATAAAAACTGATTATTAAGGTATAAACAATCACAACACCGGTATATATTATTTCTAGCTGTATATGGCGGGAAAGTGAAATGAGGAATGAAATTCACAGAACATAAATAACTCAAACTATAAAGTAATTTATATCATACCAAAGGAAACTGCTTCTTATAGTACTTTAAAACAGTTAAGGAATTTTAAATGAGAGGATATGAGATAAATGCCAGTGAATAATTTATCTTCAAAATACTTGGAATACAATTTTGTGAATCAAGGCATAAAAGACACAAAATAAAAAAATATGTACCTCAGTATAATGATAAAATTTATTTTGTTTTATTCACTCGTGGACGTTTAGTCTCTAGATTTAGAGATTTAGTGACTTCAACAGCATTAGTTTCGATGACTTTTCTTATCTTGAATGAAATTTTCATTACAGGCAGAATAAAACAGTCTGCTTACTGACTAAAATACTGATTTATCCTATCCCTTTGGACTGTCATGAGTTATTCTTAAATATTAAACTTCTAAACTAACACTACAAGTATAAACTCACTTTCGTTGAGTTTATTAGAAAATATTGATTCATAGAGATATAGGACTGAATCGACTGACTGATGATACAGGTTCTAATCACAAACTTTTCTCTTTATAAGTTGACTCCGTAAATATTATAGAGGTAACAAAAGAAAAAAATGTGAACGCAGATAAAATTATTACAGTCAGGAATTAATTAATTTCACTGTCAGTTGTTTTGTTTTATTCTAAGGTGGTATTCATCATGCACTAAATGACATCAGTTCAAGAACCATTGAAAACCTGGAAGCACTGCACGGCTTCTTCGCCTTAGTATGCCGCCTCACATCAGCCTGCACCCATGAGGTAGTCAGTAATTGAATCTACGACCTTCAGATGGCACAGAGAATACTTTACAATTCAGTCTCTGAGTCAAAATCCAATGGTTCATAATTCACGATATAGCGCGTTTTTCGTCTAGTGATATCCTTGAGGAACTGTTCTCACGTCCAACTTAGTTTCCCAATTAGTCGTGATTTCTTAATAGAACCTCGGAAAACTCCATCTTAAAGCAAGTCACTGATGAGCCCCGAATAGTGATTCAGTATGAAGTTTTGTAAAGATGTTACTGATTACAAGATGGTTTTAGAAGAGCTGATCATTTTGAAGAAAGCTTTCATCAAATGCTAACATTAAGTGAAGAATTATCCCAAACACGAAGATAAAGATATTTCTTACGTCCTATTTTTATTCTTTGGGAGTTTCTAATTTCATATCGAACTTTGATAATAACAGCCTCCAAACTACTAACTTCACAATAAACTACATAGTTAAACT